ATGACACCTTGGAAACCTTTTCATCTTTCCAAATGCAATAAATACTTTCACTTTCACTTTTTTCAGTCTCTCTCTCTTTCTCTCTTTCTTCCCTATTTCTTTCGATCACCTTTTCTATATTATCTCACTTTCTATCTATCTATATATCCATTTGTCGCACTCAGTTTCTCTGTCCATCTCATTCTCCCTCACGATATATATGTATGCATGTATACATATATGTATATATATATATATATATATATATATGTGTATGTGTGTGTGTGTGTGTGTGTGTGTGTGTGTGTGTGTGTGTGTGTGTGTGTGTGTGTGTGTGTGTGTGTGTGATTAAGAACATTTCATCTATTCAAATGCGTCTACATGCAAATATTTAAGTCCCAACTTCTTTTCTTTTGGGATTTTTCATTTTCGTTCTCTTTATTTTTCTCTTGTATTTTTCTTTCTTTTTCTCCTTTCCATCATTCTTTCTCTGTCTTTTATGTCGTTCTTTCCCCCTTCTCCAACTCTCTCTATCTCTCTTTCCAAATAATTTTCCCGTTTTCTTCTTCTTCTTCTTCTTCTTCTTCTTCGTCGTCGTCGTCACGACGCTAATTATTATGCCTACTAATAATACAAATTAGTAATCAAATTAGACACCTCTAACCATAACTATATTATATATATATATATATATATATATATATATATATATATATATATGACAAATTCTACGTAACGCGTTGTTTTAATCTGATGAAGTCCTAGTTACATAGATTTGATTTTTCCACTTTATCATTCAATTACCTAATATATATATGTGTGTGTGTACGTGTGTGTATGTGCGTGTGTGTTTGTTTGTGGACGTGTTCTACAGAATCTAGAACAGTACTCATCAGTTGTTGTCAATGCCTTTCTTACTGTTAATTCTCCCCAAAATACCAACGCTTTGTTCTGCGTTAAATTCTTACCCTGTACTTGGTGTACAGCTGTCACCGATCGAACATGAAAAATGGTTTCCCCTCGGTTCAAATCCCCAAAGAATAAAGAGCGAATATTCTGGTTACCATGTTTATTTTCAAATTAAAAACGCTTTTTCTTGGATTTTTTTTTTTTTTGTATTTCATTTTTTTTTATCATAAAATAAATGTTACTGCCATTAAAAAATCTATTTCAAGATCATATTTCTTGCTTTTAAAAAAATAGAATTTGCATTGCCAAACCTTTTTTTAAAGTATAAGTATTATTAATGTTAAATTTTCTAAAATCATAAAATTTGAAATTGGGAAATTAATCTCCACTATTGCTATATAAAGACTTCAAAATGAAGAGAATTACTTCAGACAAAATCGAATCTAGTCTCTCAATTTGGAATCTGATACTCCCTATGGGAAAAAAGACAAAACCTTTGTAAATTGTCAATTGTAATTCGGCAGACTCTTTGACTCATAATTCGATTGATCTCCATATTTCTACAAGATGGAATATTTTAAGTGCAAATGAAAAGTCTTGTGTTAATGGCATGGTTTCTCCAAGACGATCTTTATTTTATTCCCCTCTCTCTCTCTCTCTCTCTCTCTCTCTCTCTCTCTCTCTCTCTCTCTCTCTCTCCTTTTTTCTCAGAAATATTAAAGACCATTTAGTCAAAGAAAAAAAATCATCAATCAGCCCCAAAAAATGCTAACACTCTAAAAAATTGACCCGATCAGAATAACGTTAACGCTAATAATAATAATAATAACAATAATAATAATAGTAACAACGAATCAGTAAAATACACCCAATACGTATTTATAGATTTCTGTGTACGCAACAAAACAAATCGATATATCAATCAATAACACGTAAATCCCACCGCGATTCGAACATTTGATCGGGAGTTCAGTCAACAAGTGACATATCCAGTACGCCAGTGTTCTTCCGATCGAATGGTACTCTAAAATTAACTTACAAATAAAGCACCGTCTATATAATCACCACATGGCATACGGCAAGAGAAAGTTGGTATTTATGAATGTAGAAATAATCCCCATATTTTTGACAGGTACTATGAAGATATTTATATATTTACAGTTTCGCATATAAAAACCTTTTAGTTTTAGGAAGGATTTAACAAAATATACCGTCTTTTTAATAGTATAGTATTGGTAATAATGGCCTTTTCCTTATAAGTAAACATTCGGCATTCATTGATCGAGCAACCAGTGCAACTGACGGTTGAAATTTATAAAATCTTTCTATTATAACAAGAAAACAAGTTTCTCAAGTCCAGTAGCTATTATCGCTCTTTCTACTACTAATGACGGTTTCCTTCCTAAATATTTATTTGAAGTCGTGCGGAACGTCAACATCTTGATTGTGTCATTATTTTCCTTCTGATTGTTGCTGCTGTTGAAAGTTCCCAAGTGATATTGTTTCCGTTATTTGGTAAAGTTCATTGTTTGTGATTCTGTAGCGCCAGTCCACAAGGTTCGAAGAAGCATGGTCAGACTTCATTCGCTCGAAGCCATCGGTCTAGGCCAGCGGTTGTATACAACTGACAGTTTATTTTTCAACAGGTTTGATGCCACGCATGACATCCAATATGAAAGCCTCGATCTGACAACGCTATTTAAGAACATCACTTGAGCTTTAGTTTAATGTTTTACAATTTGACACTCTCCTCGCACAGCCTATCATATCTTCAATTTCTTTATCTCTTATATTAAATTTGTTGCAACTGATCCGAGGTATTTGTAATGTTTAATATTTATTAATTCCACATCTTGGCTTCTTATGATAGATTCGTGGTAGGCTGCTTTCAGAGAATACTAACCCTGCCACATACGAGATAAATAAAGCACATTGCATATGTAGCAGAGGATGCGGAAAAGTTCTAGATTTAAACAATTTTCCAAAATCTGATCAATTAACAAAACCTGAGTTTTTTTTTGTTTTTTTTTTTGCTTTGTTTTGTTTTTAAAGACATCTTTCAACGACTCTCGAGTATATATCTTGTTTAAAATTTGCTGTACTTATAGGAAAAAATTGCTCAATATCGGAGAGAGAATTTGTATGGATATAAGGAGTGTAAGCATATGGAATCAACACTGCATGGTGACTGTCAGTTTCACACTTCAGTGCGATCTTCAGACTAAATGTTTGGTGGGACCATGCTTCTTTTGTTCATTAAGAACCTTTTAAGGATGGATGGTAAATCGTTCTGTTAAAGTTGATAAATAAATTCCATTCAATTGTGAACAGAATATTAGTTATTTATGCCAATATTCAAACAGTATTGAACATAAACAAGAAAATGCAGGTTACATAAAGTTTTTGATAATTTACAAGTCCAAAGAAATTGTAAAATTATTTTTTTAGAAATGAGTAAATTATTAAACAAAGATTATCCCAATCGTAGAGATGCCACCAATCGTAGAGATGACACCAATCGTAGAGATGCCACCAATCGTAGAGATGCCACCAATTTTCCAAAAGTTTACTTGATGTTATTTCGCATTTATGAAAATTTCATGCCTGTTATTATCGCTATTATCGCTCTTTCTACTACTGATGGCGGTTTCCTTCCTAAACATTTATTTGAAGTCGTGCGGAACGTCAACATCTTGATTGTGTCATTATTTTCCTTCTAATTGTTGTTGCTAAATCTAAAGATGTTTCGTTTTACGAACAAAAAGGCAAAAATATTGTTCAGTGTTTATTTTGCAATGAGGCAAACATATTGACAATGTTGGAACGATCACAAGAAAAATATGACTTTGATTTTGAAAGTGCACATGTGTTTCGGACATGTTTTTCAAATGTTTTACATTTGAAAATGCATAAGGCTAAGCAACAATCAAAAATGATGTCGTGCTTTCAGACTTCCACATCAGTCACAGTAGATAACAACCTTTGACATCGACACAAGAAGCAGAGGGAGGCGGGTACTTGGAACGCTCAAAATTATGTCTCTGTATTAAGTAATGGTAATTGCTTCTTCGAATTTGAACATTTCAGATAATGAGGAAAACCTGTCATGAAGTAGGTATTTCATAAAAGCATTACGGTTAGATTTTGATTGATTTTTTCCTCTTTTTATTAAAAGACATGAAACAAATAAGGTGTCAATTATTAACTGATGTATTTTTTTAAATTTTGCAGATTGGCAGAATGCTGTGTTAGGTCTAATGATGTTTGCCGCCTCATTTGGTGCCCTAGCAGCTGTCCTTTCTATATGCGGTGTGCTAACAACTCCATTACCGAAGAAGATATACTACTACCATTCAGCTGGGGAAATATTTCTAATTTGTGGTAAGTTTTCCCTTTATTTTAAACAAAATATTTTAGGGTTCTGATACCTAAGTTTTCACAAGTACAATGGATTCAAAAGGACCTTGACATTTGTACAAAATCGTTTAGGATTTTTCAGAAAATAGATAGACAGATAGATAGATATAAACAGAATGAGATAGATAGATAAGAATAGGCCGAAAGAGATAGATAAGAAACAGAAAAGAGATAGATAGATAGATAGATAGATAGATAGATAGATAGATAGATAGATAGATAGATAGATAGATAGGCAGGGAACAAATTGACATAATAAATATCAAATATGTAAATTAGCAACAGATCTGTTTCTTTGTTATTTAATTTTTTTCATGGAATTCTTCAAATCAATATCAATTTTTCGGAACAGCCTGAGAAAGTTCCTAATGGCATCTCTCTATTTTTCTAACTTTGCATCAGCCCGTTTTTGACTCAGATAGCAAATAGCACCAAGAATGAGAACCTTAAAAATTCCTGACATTTGTTGAGCATCTACCAGAGTTAGACAACAAGCGAGCCATTTTGACTGGCACCTGCCAATCATTGGCCCAAATTCGCCACCGACAAAATTTCCAGAATTTATATTTTATTCTATTGGATTTATTCATTACTTTTTCAAAGAATTTGCTTTTCTTGTGAAGAATTAGTTTTCAATTTCTGTGTTCAGTGACATTTTATATACAATGTGCTATAAAAAAAATTCTACAATGTCTAGCCAGAAACGATTCTGGCACTAATTGAACGAATTTAAAAAAATGTTAAGTGTGCTAAAGAGAGAAAACTTGTATAATCTTTTTAGGAAATCTTCTGACCTTCATAGGGTCAGATTAAAAAAAAAAAAAAGAAACAAGAAAATACAAATCCTCCCCCATCTTGAAATGAAAAAATTGACCTAAGTAATGCTGACCATTTTTGGTACTTCCTATTCATGTGAAACATTGTTTTCATCCCTGAATTATATAAGATCAACCTTCAGGAATCACTTTGGTATGGATATGAGTGCTGTATGCATTAAGCTGAAAAGAAAAAGTATGAACCTCAAATTAAAATATTTGAGCAACTAAAAGATAGAGCAACAAATTTCTCATTAAAACTATAAGTATACGAGTGACACATTTATATTTAGGAAAAGTTTTAAAAAGGTACCAAAAATGAACTGACAAAAAAAAAATTGTGGAACATGGCAGCCATGATGAGAGCAGGACATTAGCAAAACCAACATAAAAACTATTAAGAATATATACAATAGCAGTACTACAATAAAGACTGGAAAAGGAGTGAGACAAGTAGGTAGTATTTCACCTGAACTATTTATAGCTGTCTTTGAAAGGATCTTCTGGGAAAAGAATGAGGGGAAAAAAGGGAAGTAAACCTACATGGAGAATATTTAGAGCATCAGTATATAAATAACATTTCGAATTTTAAATTGACAATTGAAACAGGTACACCCACCCATATATATATATATATATATATATATATATATATATATATATATAGAGAGAGAGAGAGAGAGAGAGAGAGAGAGAGAGAATTAAGTTGAAAATGTTTTTTCACTTGACTCATGTTTACTTCGACGTTTCGTGGTTACATAAATGTGACCACTATCTCGAATTTTTTTTTTTTTTTGTATTTTTATTGTGGTATGAGTGTTTAATTTTTCTTTTCGCTTGATGAGTGTTGATATGTTGTTGATTTCTCTTACTTTCCCTTCCTTTTTTTTCTCTTATTCTTTCCTCACCTTCTCCGTTGATCTCTGGTTTATTGCTAGTGTTTTGGCCATTTAATTTAGGTTATGGTTGGATTTTTTGTGTGATGTTTGTGTGGGTGTGTGTTTATGTGTACATTTTTGACTCAGATGGAAAATTGCACCAAGGGTGAGTTTATGTGTGTGCCTATGTATGTACACATACGTATGCATACGTACATACAAATATGCATACACACACATTCATCTGCATGTTTGTGTGTTTGTGTGTGCGCATCTGTGTGTTTGTGTTTGTGCATTATTTAACTTTACTTAGTGAGCGCTTGTTGTTTTGTACTTTTATTGTGGTATGAATGTGTTATTTTCGTTTTCGCTGGATAAGTCTTTTACGTTTATTTGTATGAAAGAACAGTTGTTAAACAAGAGGAATGAAATAATAGGGAAATGCAGACTTTTAAACAAGCATCTACTTTGCTACCTAAATACTATTATAAAAAGAAAAGAAAGAAATACAATACAAAACGCAATCCCATCACAACACAAACCAATGTACCTAACATTTAATCCACACCAATCACAAATACAATCCACCCAGAAAAAAGTAACCACAATATCAACAAATAATAAATAACAAAATAATACCTAACCATATAAAATACACTAAAACTCAACATACAAATCAACACAACTACACCCCTTACAAAACGCAAAAAACATACACATGCACTTCACAACACCCACAACATCAAAAAATAATAACCAACAAAACAATATCTAACTACACAAAACACAAACAAGTTACTACACCGACACTCTTTACCAAACGCTAAAACGCACAAACACTAAATATAAAAAAGCGAGAATAGACAAATAAATAAAAAAAAAACGAGAATGCAAATAAGGGAACAAACGCACAAACACAAACACACAGACGCGCACAAATGAACACACAAACATGCATTTGCGGGAATGTGTATGCATGCATATTTTTATGTATGCATGCGTATTTTTATGTATGCATACGTAAACTTGCACAAGCATACACACAGACACACACCTTCAACCATAACGTAAACATTAAACAAACCAATGGAAAAATACAAAAGAAACAATTCATTTAACATCATCAACAAAAAACTGTTCTTTCAGACAACTAAACATGAGAGACTTATCAAGCGAAAAGGGAAATAACTCACAATAAAGGTACTAAACAACAAGCACACACTAAGTAAAGTTAAATAATACAAGCTACTAAAAATACATATACAGTTAACACGAACACTCATACAAACACAAAAACATAGTGTGTTCGTGTGTGATCAGTGCTTAATAATAAATATACATTTGTTTCCTCACCAGCAGCGTAACTCTGACTTTCATGCACAACGCAGTCGTCAGGTGCTGATTGAAAACTGACCTTTGCATAATTTAAATCTTGATATTTCTACCATACAGTAACCATAGTGAAGCGCTCCATTTATTTATGGGCAGGGGTAATAAAATAA